ATAGGGATAGTTGGTGGTCTTGTTTGCCTAACTGCAGTGATTATTGCATGTATAATTCCATTACATTCCAAATCAAACTCATCCAGAGCCAGACAAGCAGCTCCTTCAGTTCAAATGACATCAATTCCAGCACAAACTACTAGTACTGCAACTGGAGCTTGCACACAATCTGAGCCAGATAATCGACCTCTTCCTCCATCTTACTCAGATTATATGGAACAGCAGAAAGCTTATTCACAACAGACTGCACCGATGGCTTATCCTGGTTGTGCTGCCCCTTCACAAGGCTATGGTTATCCTGCACCTCCTCCACAGCAGCAGGGTTTTGTTGTACAAAGATATCCTCAACAGGATTATTCTCAAACTGGTTATCCCCAGCAAGTACCTTATCCACAGCAGCAGCAGCAAGAAGGACCAGTTGGGTATCCACAGCAGGAGCCACAAGGATATGGAGGAACAAACCCTGGTACTGATGAGTCTACTGGCATTCGTGATGAACCACCACCTCCTTATTGAGCTCATTGACGTTAAATGTTTTATATTTTTGTCAACAATGTATCCTTTTATTTCAATAGTCTATAATTGTGAATTAATGATGAATTAAGTAATGGTTGTTTTACATTGGAAAAAACATATAACAATTGAAATAGTAATTATAAATGCATCCTATAGACCACCCTAGGCGTGAATTGGAAAAGTTATGAATTTCATTAATTTTATATACGGTACCCGCCCACACATCATAATTGGCTGCCATTTTGGTTGGCAAGTTTATTATGGAAGTCAATGGAGGCACGAAGAAAATGCCTCACATACCTGCTGTAGCTCTATCAATAGCTAAAAAGCGCTTGTTATAAGAAAGAACAGCTGCCTCTAAGCTTCTCCTGTCAAGGATTTGGTCAAATTTGCTCCAAAAATTTTAATACAGGTTTGTTTTTATGTCGGCCCGTTTGTTCTCCATTGAAAGTTGCCAACCAAAATGGCGGCCGGAATTTATTTCATCCTAAACCACGCCTTACAACCGTAAAAATTTCTAATAATCTTCCTACGTATTCAATTCTCGCCTAGGGTGGTCTATTGTCCTATGATATTCATATGGTTTCGTGTGTGTATTCACACTTTAAGGTCAGTACTGTTGGTGTATAATAGTACTGGGTCATCGTCATCAAGTGGTTACAGGAAAGAGAGAGCTTAAGTTCAGTTAAGCTATGAGGTTTAGATCTCTGTTTAGATTGACCCTATGGATCGGAGTAACATTTATAACATTAGTGCGTGCATGACGCACGCGTATGATTACTATTGACCACTCCCAATTATGCAAGGTGTGGTTTGTCGCAAATGAATTCATGAAAATTAATAATGATGATGCTCTACACCTCGATCTACAGAGGTTGCTGCTGCACAAGTTCTCGTTCTCCTGGGAGACTTTTTCTCTTAATTGTGCTTGTGGTCTGTTCCCATTTCAGTTTCATCAAAGGTAGTTCTACTAAATAATGGACTGCTAAATTTCTATCATTAGCTTATAAGATTGTTTGACCTGGCCGGGTTCAAAGGCTTTATGGTCACCCATGTCTGTACAATGACTATGACTCAGCTACATGTAATATGGAAATTCTAATTTTGTTGTTTTTATGTTATGTATCTAGGTTGTGTGTGCTACTTTCTTTATTGTCATTTGTGATGTTTGGTTCAAAGTTGAATATGTTGATATTGTATTCACTATATATGATGTCAATAAGTGTCATTTTCCATACCAATCATATTTATGTGATTGTATGATTGTAATTGCATAAATTCCCTCTATGTAATTCCCCTCTCCTTTTTGTCGTTGACATTACAATTTCTATATACTAAATCAGGGTTTCCCATAGGATTTTTACATAGTTTTTTGTCAGTCAGTGGATTGTCGTGTTACTCAAAATTGGGCCAAAATAAGCATACAGGGTATTTCTACAAAAATCAAAAGGAGAGAATTCACCATTTTTATAATTTTTTATAATACATATACATATTTTTACGTTGTGTAGGAAGTTTGAGCTGATTCTGATCAAAATTAGATTTTTACAAATTTTAAAAAGTTTTTCAAGAATTGGGCCAAAGCCCCTGTACTATAAATACAGGATCAGAAAAAAGTCTCCATTTTTATATTTTTTTCTGATACATATACATGTTTTTATGTTGTGTAACATACTGTATTGTAGTGCTTGTCAGCTCATGAAGCTCATGGTGTTTAG